GAAAGCTCCGAGTCCAGCTTTTTGAAGATATCTCCGTCGCAGATGTAGATGGATTTGGGAGCTTGGCTCTTGTCCTTCTTCAAGGTCAGGGTGTGGTTGTTGAAGTCGTTGAGGTTGATGGCACCCAGGTAGTGGGGAGAGCTCTGGAGATGCAACTTGGAGACGTTGGCTGGAAGACTGTTGAAGTTGGAGGATCCCTTTGGGTGGTCGAGCTTCAGCTTCTCCTCATCCTGCAGGGACGGGCGCTTCAGCGTCCCGGTGATGGTCATGGTCCGGCATGTCCCGATGTCTTTGTTGAGCACTAACCAATCAGGAGGAAAGAGATGGGATTTCAGAAGGCACTACGGAAACCATGAGGTGACACAACCACATCTACCCCCCGTTCCTTCCCCCAAAACACAGGTTTCCTAACACAGGCAATCCTCCACATATGCCCACCATTGAGTCTGTTGCTAAGTGAGTTTTGCCCCATTTTATGACCTTTCTTGCCACAGCTGTTAAGCAGATCACGGCAGCTATCAATTTAGGAAGAGGGCTGTTAAGCGAATCGGGCTTCCCCCATTGACTTGGCTGGCCAGACGGTCGCAAAAGGGGATCATGTCACCCCATGGGACACGACAATCGTCATAAATTTGTGTCGGTTGCCAAGCATCTGAATTTTGATCCCGTGACCATGGGGATGCTGCAACGGCCATTAAGTGTGAAAAACGGTGCTAAGTCCCTTTTTTTTAAAGTATTGTTGTAACTTCAAACAGTCACTAAGCAAAAGGTGGAATGTCAAGGACTCTCTGTATTTCCTAATTACGTCATTGTCACCCACTGTCCCAAACAGGAATGAACACACTCACCCATGCCCACCCACAGCCTCCCATAACGGGATTGACATTAAATTTGACTTTCCACAATTTATTGTACCAGAACATGCCCCTGCCACCACAAATCTACTCCAAATGGATCTCAGATTCCCTCAACCATCCAGGTAAAATTACAGATGCAAATAAATTTAAAAATGCCCACACCATAATTTATATATTCTCCAGGGAGACCCGTGCTTGAATCTGCCATTTGATTCCTAATAGGGACACTGTATTTCCACTTGATTCCATTTAATTTGATATAATAGTAGTAGTAATAATAATAATAATAATAGTAATAATAATAATAATAATAGTAATAGTAATAATAATAATAATAATAGTAATAGTAATAATAATAATAATAGTAATAGTAATAGTAATAGTAATAGTAATAATAATAATAATAATAATAGAGTTGGAAGGGACCTTGGAGGTCATCTAGTCCAACCCCCTGCTCAGGCAGGAAACCCTAGACCATTTCAGACAAATGGCTGTCCGGTCTCTTCTTAAAAACTTCCAGTGTTGGAGCATTCACCACTTTATTTTTGGACAAAGTAGCTGACCAGCAGGTGGTGGGAAACACACACCCCCGTTTGGCTCTTTCAACCGTTATTTGGAGAATATACGCACATTCACAGACTACTTGGAAAGTTTACCAATCTTCAGGATATTAATTAATTGTTCAAAATCTAGAAATATAGACGCCAGTTATTTGAAGCAGAAAGATCCTGCAGAGCTCAAAAATAGAATAGAATAGAATAGAATAGAATAGAATAGAATGGCAGAGTTGGAAGGTATTTTGGAGGTCATCTAGTCCAACCCCAAGCTCAGGCAGGAAACCCTATATCATTTCAGACAAGTGGCTGTCCAATTTCTTCTTAAAAACCTCCAGTGATGAATAGAATAGAATAGAATAGAACAGAACAGAACAAAACAGAACAGAATAGAGCTGGAAGGGCCCTTGGAGGTCTTCTAGTCCAGCCCCCTGCTCAAGCAGGAGAACCTATACCATCTCAGATAGGTGAATGTCTAGCCTCTTCTTAAAAACCTCCAGTGATGGAGCGCCCACGATTTCTGGAGGCAACTTCTGTTCCACTGGTTAATTGTCCTCACTGTCAGGATGTTTCTCCTAATTCCAGGTTGCCTCTCTCCTTGATCAGTTTCCAACCACTGTTTCTCATCCTTCCCTCTAGTGCTCTGGTGAACAACCTGACCCCCTCTGCCTTGTGGCAGCCCCCCCAAATACTGGAAGACTGCTATCATGTCTCCCCTATTTCTTCTTTTCTTTAGACTGGCCAGACCCAAGTCCCGCAGCCATTCTTCGTATGTTTTAGTCTCCAGGCCTTGGATCATCTTAGTTGCTCTTCTCTGAATTTTTTTCCAAACTCTCAACATCTTTTTTGTGATATGGTGACCAAAATTGGCTGCAGTATATTGATATAAAACTAATGGCTGAATGCATTCAAAAGACACAGTAAAATTCCTCTTGGTTACCTGCTACTCGGACCCCCAGGATTTCCCGAATATTTGAAATCCAGCACAATTTGAGTGGCAAATAGACAAAAGGGATTAAGAGAGGGGAGGGAGGGTAGAAACACTTAAAAAAGGGCATGCATGGATGAGAGAGATAAATTGAAAGAAGACCAAACGCAATCCAACGGGCGAAGGAAACCAATTTCATGCCTCGCTTTTTAAATCTATGTCACGATTTGTATGCAACAAATCGCACAGCCGTTTGCTGGCAGGGAGGAACTCAAGATTGTTGGGGGGTTTTTTAACCATTTTCTGGGTAAGTGAGAGGATATCTGAAGGCAAACGAGGATTTTCCACTCCTCATTGTGCGGACCACATTGGAGAGAGACAATCGAAAAATGAAAAATGAAGAGAGAAACAGATAAGAAACCAGGAAGGGATAAAATGCAGGAGCAGAAACAGCCACACTTCCAAGGCTTGAAGAGATCCTGGTTTTGAAAAAAATGGATTTTTGGAAGGCTGGACCAAGTTGGTGGTGGGCTTGATTTTTATTTTTATTTTCTGGAAAGGACAGCGAAGAGGATTTTAAAGAGCAATTGATTCCAAGTAGTCCTCAACTTACAACAGTTCATTTGGTGACCGTTCAAAGTTACCGAGGCACTGAAAAATGTGACTTATGATCGGTTTGTCACACCATCATTGTAGCATCTCCATGGTCAAAATTCGGACACTTAGCAACTGACTCCTATTTATGATGGTGGGGAAAGCAGATCCACTTAACAACCATGGCACTAGCTTAATTCTGGGACTTCAACTCCCAGAATTCCTGAGCCAGCATGGGGAACCATGGGCCTTTTATGACTTGTGGACTTCCAGAATTCCTGAGCCAGCATGGGGAACCATGGGCCTTTTATGACTTGTGGACTTCCAGAATTCCTGAGCCAGCATGAAGAACCATGGGCCTTTTATGACTTGTGGACTTCAACTCCCAGAATTCCTGAGCCAGCATGGGGAACCATGGGCCTTTTATGGCTTGTGGACTTCAACTCCCAGAATTCCTGAACCAGCATGAGGAACCATGGGCCTTTTATGGCTTGTGGACTTCAACTCCCAGAATTCCTGAGCCAGCATGGGGAACCATGGGCCCTTTTATGACGTGGACTTCAATTCCCAGAATTCCTAAGCCAGCATGGGGAAGCATGGGCCTTTTATGACTTGTGGACTTCAACTCCCAGAATTCCTGAACCAGCATGGGGAACCATGGGCTTTTTATGACCTGTGGACTTCAACTCCCAGAATTCCTGAGCCAGCATGGGGAAGCATGGGCCTTTTATGACCTGTGGACTTCAACTCCCAGAATTCCTGAGCCAGCATGGGGGAACCATGGCTGGTTCAGGGATTCTGGGAGTTGAAGTCCACAAGTCATAAAAGACCCATGGTTCCCCACTCCTCCACCTTCACCCTTGCTTTAAAGAAAGGAAGACTGGATAAGGAAGGGGTTGGTTTTCATCAGCTGACAGGCAACAATTTAGGTCTGAAGCAAGGAAAGAAGTTGTAAATGTCAGCAGATCTAGAGGTTTCAGGGACCATCATTGGGTCAAGCATGAGAAGGAAGATGGTGGAGATAACCATGTGCATATTTTGTCAGGCAAGGAGGGAGGGGAGGATGAAAAAATGAGGAGAACGTAGCAGCTTTCCACAGATCAGAGGCAAGATCTACCTTGGATTCTAGGAGATCACCAAAATACGACTTTGTGGGATGCTACCAAGGAGTAACTCGCAGGGAATCTGCTTTGGGGTGGAGAGACTTCACTGTATGGGTTAGGGCTAGGGTTAAGGATTTTGTGACCTTCTAGGAAAATGTGTAGCAGCTGAGGTGGGAGCAGAAGACACAAAGGTCCAAGCTAGATGTCCTGCAGTCAACCTTGGCTGTTCTTTTGCAAGTCTCCCCTTTCATGAAGTAGGAGATCTTTTAGATACCTTTCAACGACATTGTCCAAACTTCTTCATTGCTGCATATGATGGTTGAAACCATGGTGGTCCTCATTCCAAAGGCAAGTGGACTTTCTTAGTTTTTGTTTTCTTTGAAAACGTTTTGCTTCTCCAAGAAGCTTCTTCAGGTCTGAACTGAAGAAGCTTCTTGGAGGAGAAGCAAAATGTTTCCCCCCCCCAAAAAAAAATACCCAAGAAACTCTAGTTGCCTTTTGGAAAAGCACTATGGGGACAACCATGACCTGGATGATTGAGAACCTCCATAGTCATGGTGGTCCTCATTGACTAGGGGAATGGGAAAGGTCCTCACCTCCTGGTCATTGGGTGGTTTAGTTAAACCCAATCATAAGTGAACCATGGTTGAGTTGTACTCTATACTGCACCACAAAATCAAGCTTAAACACATTTTTGCCAATGGAGGTGCTGGCTGGACAGGCGAGATAAACGCAAGCGTGATTTTAACAAGAGAGAAAAATTCTAGACATGGTAGCAAAGGGAAGAATTTGTTATATTATTTATTTTTCCTGATAGGCATCTAAATTTCATTTCAGTTGTAAAACATATCCGGAAGGGGGTACCCAACATGTTCCATAAAACAAATCACAACAGAGCAATTACCGAGTCTGTCATTTCGACTCCTATAACTGCCTGGTTTGTCACAAACGGATAGTCAAGAGTGCAGAAAGAAAAATTGCAAAAATAGCCTGCCTTCCATTTTCAACAGCTTCAATGGTTGAAGGAACCAGGCAGCTGTAGTCTAACGAAAAGACAGGCTGGGGGTGTCTGTGTGTGACAGGATAGCGGTCCTCCAATGTTTGAGGGGCTGCCACAAAGAGGAGGGGGTCCACCTATTCATTGGGCGCTATCTAACAAAATGAAATTCAATGGTGAAAAAAGTCAGGTTCTACATTTAGGCAAGAAAAACCAAATGCACAGGTATAGTATAGGGGGTACCTTGCTCAATAGTAGTAACTATGAGAGGGACCTCGGAGTCCTAGTGGACAATCACCTAAACATGAGCCAGCCGTGTGCTGCAGCTGCCAAAAAGGCCAACACAGTGCTAGGCTGCATTAACAGAGGGATAGAATCAAGATCACGTGAAGTGTTAATACCACTTTACAATGCCTTGGTAAGGCCACACTTGGAATACGGCATCCAGTTTTGGTCACCACGATGTAAAAAAGATGTTGAGACTCTAGAAAGAGTGCAGAGAAGAGCAACAAAGATGATCGGGGGACTGGAGGCTAAAACATATAAGGAACGGTTGCTGGAATTGGGCATGTCTAGTTTAATGAAGAGAAGGACGAGGACCTGTATATTTTCAACTGCTCCCCTCAAGATGGTGCTAGAGGGCATCAAATGCCAAGGAAACTAGACCCAGGGACAATTTGTTTCCTTCATGCCCTCACTCTGCTGAAGATCTAGTTCTCTTAGTCCTGCCTAACGTCTCTATATACATTAACCCACTTAGTGTATTATTCCTGTGGTATTATTTTTCCTTCTTATTATCTTCTGTACTCTTCCTCCTATTGCTATTATTGTGACAACCATTAGCATTGTTTTGTTGCATTCTACACAAAGAACTTCTGCGCTAGAGACAAATTCCTTGCGGTGTCTAACCCCACTTGGCCAAATAAAGCATTCCATTCCATTCAGTCCACTTCCTTACAACTGCTCATAGAGTTAGATATTAATGGAAAAGTCATATTCAGACATTAAGATGGTTACCTCTACTTGGTCTAATCCAGGGGTAAGCAACTTTGGCTCTTTTATGATTTGTGGACTTCAACTCCCAGAATTCCTGAGCCAGCCATGCTGAGGGGAAAGGGAGAGGTTTCCAAGCTGAGCCATGCTGGCTCAGGAATTCTGGGAGTTGGAAGTCCACGAGTCATAAAAGAGCCAAGGTTGCCTACCCCTGGTCTAATTCAAGCTCATGTCAATCTTTGTGCCTCTTTGGTAAGGGACCTTGGAGGTCTTCTAATCCAACCCCCTGCTCAAGCAGTAGACCCTAAACCATTTCATATAAATGGTTGTCCAACCTCTTCTTAAAAACTTCCAGTGTTGGAGCATTTACAATTTCTGGAGGCAGCTTGTTCCACTGATTAATTGTTCTAGCTGTTAGGAAGTTTCTCCATAGTTCTAGGTTGCTTCTCTCTTTGGTTAGTTTCCATCTGTTGCTTCTTGTCCTGCCTTCTGGCTCTTTGGAAAATAGGTTAATCCCCCTCTTCTTTGTGGAAGCCTCTGAGATAATAAAAAACTGCTATCATGTCACCCCTAATCCTTCTTTTTACATTAGATTAAACATACCCAATTCCTGCAAGTGTTCTTCATAGCTCCAGTCATCTCTTTAGAGGAAAAACCTAATTGAAATTTGATTATCTTAATAAAGCAAAGGAAGGTCAGACCTGCTTGGAATTTTAGTGGGAGAAACTTCCAGGATTTGACTGGTTACTTAAAAGAAAAATCAAGAAGAAGGAAGTAGAAAAAAACTCCCTCAAGAAAAGTGCATGATTGATTACATGTCATCATACAAGTGAGCTGGACTCAACTTCGGAAGACCCTCCTAATCTTAGTGGAAAGACAAAAACAGAATAACAGAGTTGGAAGGGACCTTGGAGGTCTTCTAGTCCAACCCCCTGCTCAAGCAGGAAACCCTATACCATTTCAGACAAATAGCTATCCAGTCTCTTCTTAAAAACCTCCAGTGTTGGACCATTCACAACATCTGGAGGCAAGTCGCTCCACATATTAATTGATCTTACTGTCAGGAAATTTCTCCTTAGTTCTAGGTTGGTTAGCTTCCATCCATTGCTTCTCGTCCTGCCTTTCAGGTGCTTTGGGGAATAGGTTGACCCCCTTTTCTTTGTCGGCAGCCCCTTAGATATTGAAACACTGCTATCATGTCACCCCTGGTCCTTCTTTTCAGTTGATTAGAAAAGACAGGAAGAGAAGCTTCAGGAAACAGGAGAACCTCAACGATCTCCAGGAAGTTGGATCAATAAGGGGCAGGTCAGGTATACAGATTCAAAAGCAATACAATTTCACACAATCAGGAAGCGAGGGAGAAGGGTGAATTAAAAAACAACAACAACAAACAAACAAATTCAATCCCCAAACCAGGTTCGTGGTTGATGTCTCACCTGTGATGTGCTCACCTGATCTACAAGCCATGTCCACGTCTTTCTCAAAATCCGTCTGGAAGACAGAGAAAGCAAAGGGAAGAAGTGGTCAGCAACAGGGAAGGGAGAAAGAAGACCGAAAAGGACAACATTTGGACATTTCAGCTTTTCAACCCAACTTGAAACCCAAAGGGCAGCTCTTCCTGGTCATCTGGGAAAGTGGTTTGGAGGTGAAATGTCAAATATTGATCAAACCGGTCAGTCCTAGAGGAGATCAACCCCGACTGCTCTTTAGAAGGCCAGATCCTGAAGTTGAAACTCAAGTCCTTTGGCCACCTAATGAGAAGAAAGGACTCACTGGAGAAGAGCCTGATGCTGGGAAAGATGGAGGGCAAGAGAAGAAGGGGACGACAGAGAAGGAGGTGGCTGGATGGAGTCACTGAAGCAGTAGGCCTGAGCTTCAATGGACTCCAGAAGATGGTAGAGGACAGGAAGGCCTGGAGGAACGTTGTCCATGGGGTCACGATGGGTCGAACACGACTTCGCAACTAACAACATGCAATAAATGAGAATATTTGTAGCTCAGGTTTGAAGGGAGGGGTCCTTGGTGCTCTCTGGGCTTAGTGGTTTTCTGGCAGGAAGTTTCAATACCCAACTCGATAACATCATCAATGCTAGACCAGCAACATCTTCTTGCACTGATGATGTTACCTAGTTGGGTAATGAAATGTCTGCCAAAAACAACCAACCTCAAACAACACCAAAGACCCTACAATCCTCTTCTTTCTCCTCCCACTCCCCTGTCCTTTTCCTCCCCCTTTCTACTCCACAAAACCCTTCTAGCACTGATGATGTTACCTAGTTGGGTAATGAAACATCCGCAAGAAAGCAAGCAAGCTCAGAGAGCACTAAGTACCCTATAGTCCTCCTCCTCCTCCTCCTCCTCCTCCTCCTCCTCCTCCTCCTCCCCCTCTTCCTCCTGTCCCTCCTCCTCTCCACAAGCAAGTACCTTCCAGATACATCAGACTATAACTCCCAACACCCAGAAACATTAGCATGGTCAGTGACCGGGTGCTATCCAACAGTTCTGCAGAACATGGCTTGAAGAAAGCACTTGAGGAACATAGGCACTAATAAAAGGGAGTGGAAAGCTTTCATTCATCCTATTTTTGGAAATTGGGGTGAACTGGGACATACATTAATCAATGAACATTATAGGTATCCAGGAAATCTGCAACCTCCAGATGCAATAATATCTGAGTACCAATTCAGATGATTATTTTAAAAAGATTAAATACATTTATGACAATGAAAGCTGTCATGTAGACCTGGGGACCAGTAATGAATAAGATCACCTTCCTGTCTTGTTTTGAGAATTTCCTGAAAATGGCTAACTTGCCAGGGTGTGACAGCATAATCCTGGCCTAGCGTGAACTTGTGGCCTGATGAAGCATCTTACATTCTAATAGTCTTGACTTGCTTTAAGTCTTTTGATGGGTCTGTGTAATGGCAATAAAACCTAATCAAATACATTTGATGATGATCATCAACCAGGAGAAGCTAAAAGGACAGGTTGTTTCCCAATAGAAGAATATGGAACAGCAGAGTTGGAAGGAACTTTGGAGGTCTTCTAGTCCAATACCTTGTTTGAGCAGAAGACCCTATACCATTTCAAACAAATGGGTGTCCAATCTCTTCTTAAAAACTTCCACCCACAACTTCTGGAGGCAAGTCCTTCCACTGATTAATTGTTCTCAGTGTCAGGAAATTGAATATCTCCTTAATAAATTTCCATCCATTTCTTCTTGTCTTGCCCTCATGTGCTTTGGTGAATAGGTGGTCCCCTCTTCTTTGTGGAAGCTCCTCGAATATTGGAAGACTGTTATCATGATGGTGATGGTGATGATGATGGTGATGATAATGATGATGATGATGATGATGATGGTGGTGGTGGTGGTGATAGTGATGATGGTGGTGATGATGATAATGATGATGGTCATGATAGTCATGATGATGGTCATGACAATGATGATGATGATGGTGGTGGTGGTGATGGTAATGATGATGACAATGATGGTGGTGGGGATGGTGATGATGATGATGATAATGGTGATAGTGAAGATGGTGATGATGATAATGATGGTCATGATGGTCATGATGATGATGATGGTCATGATGATGATAATGATAATGATGATGGTCATGATGGTCATGATGATGATGGTTGTGATGATGATGATGATAATGATGGTGGTGGTGGTGATGGTGATGATGGTGATGATCATGATGATGGTGGGGATGATGGTGATGATAATGATGATGATGAAGGTGATGATTAGTGGATGAGAGTGGATGAGAGGAATGCTGTGGATATAATTTACTTGGACTTCAGTAAGGCATTTGATAAAGTACATCACAACCTACTACTTGACAAGATAGAAAAATGTGGGGTAGACAGCATCACCACCAGATGGATCCATAGCTGGCTGACCGGCCGTACTCAGCGAGTGGTCCTCAATGGAACCACATCTACATGGAGGGAAGTG